ATTGTCAGCTGTCTTAAGAAAGGCAGCTAACACATGTCTTAAATAAGTAAATAAACTGTTTATCAATAAGGTATAGCACGTTTAAGCATAGATAGGTGCAGAAGGTATAAATCTAGAGTAAACTAGTTTTCTTAATTAGGAAAAGAGCAACAGCATTACAGTGTTTAAAAAGGTATTTCTAAATTTTGCTAAAATGGAGACTTTTTAGTCTCAGGATGGCAGAAAGTGAAAAAGCAAACACGGGCCTTGTTATTGGGGATCCCAGGTCCTCCTTAGCTGCTGGCAGGGGATGAAGACCGTAGGGTTGCCAGATCCAGGTTGGGGAACTCCTGGAGGTTTGATGGTGGACCCTGGGGAGGGCGGGGACCTCACTGGGGTGCAATGACATAGAGTCCACCCCCCCCCCCCGAAGCATTCATTTTCTCCAGGGGAACTGATCTCTGGAGATGAGCTGTAATTCCAGGGGATCCCTTGGTCCCACCTGGAGGCTGGTAACCCTACTTGTTATCCAGTTTCTAACAGTGTGGTCCAAATTAGTTATACTTTTCTCTGAACCCTTTTCAGTCTAGTTTCAAAGCAGCCTGTATGAGGGAGACAGCGTTGGTGGCCTTAGTTGATGAGCTCCATGTGAATGTAGATAAGGGGGCCATGCCTCTTTTTTTCTCCTACAGTATCTATCAGCAGCCTTTGAGATGGTGGATCATGCTACCTTTTTCAGACATTTGGCGGGCAGAAGTAGACATCAGGCTTTGTGCTTTGGACTGGTTTAAATTGTTCCTTAAGGACTGGACTCCAGGGAGTTGCTGTTGGACACCAGTGGTTATCAGTGTGGGATTTGTCCTGTGAGATTCTACAAAATGCAGTCCTATCCCCTATTCTATTTAATTTATATATAAATCTCTTAGAATAAGTCATGTGTGGTTTTGGAGTTAGGGTTGCCAGTTTCCAGGCAGCAGGCAATGGCAGGGGGGAAAAAACCAGCATTTTTTTTGGTGAGTATTTTGTGTGTGTGCGTGCATGTGCGCCTGGAAGTCATGGTTGACTTCTGGTGACCCCCTAGTGGGGCTTGGATGTGGAGCAATCTTGGCCCAAAACAGATATGTTGTCGGGGACTGGTATGCTGATCCCCAGACACGAAATTGACTTGCCAAAAGCACCTATCTGGATGGAAGCGTCAGAGTGGTTCAGCACGGTACTGTTAGCCACAAATACCAGAACAAGGGCTCCTTATGCAGTGGTAGATAGGGATGGCATCCTCCACATGGGACCTGGGGATTCCCTGGAATTATAGGCCACTTCCAAACTACAGAGATCAGATCCCCTGGAGTAAATGGATGCTTTGGATGGTAGACTCTGTGGCACTGTACCCCACTGAGGATCGTGTTCTCCCCAGGCTCCATCCACAAAGAAGTTTCCCAACCTGAATCTGGTAACCCTATTCCTCCATCCCCCGCTGGTGGCCAGCGGGGACCTGGCAACCTTAGTGGTAGATCACCAGTCTCCTGCCGCTGCTGCCCACCATTGCTTGGTGCAGCAGCAGCGGAGTGGCTGTGGCTCACTGGAAGAGCCTCTGCTTTGCATGCAGAAGGTCCTAGGTTCAATCCCCAGCATCTTCAGTTAAAAGGACCAGGTTGTAGGTGATATGAAAGACCTCAGCCGGAGACCCTGGAGAGCTGCTGCCAGTCTGAGTGGACAATACTGACCGTGATGGACCAATGGTCTGATTCAGTATAAGCAGGAAAAGGGGAGAAGAAGAAGAGTTGGATTTATACCCCACCCTTCACTACCCAAGGGAGTCTCAAAGCAGCTTACAAACTCCTTTCCCTCCCCCTCCCCACAACAGACACCCTGTGAGGTAGGTGGGGCTGAGAGAACTCTGACAGAAGCTGCTCTTTTTCAAGGACAGCTGTGCCAGAACTACGGCTTGCCCAAGGTCATCCAGCCAGGTGCAAGTGGAGGAGTGGGGAATTAAACCCAGTTCTCCCAGATTAGAGTCCATGCACTTAACCACTACACCAAACTGGCTCTCTGTGGGGGCTACCAAGAAAGGGAAAGAAAAAGAGGAAATAGCAGAGGAAGGGGATGCACAGCAAAATGAGATGCTCCTCACAAGTCATTGTTGGTACCTATTTGTATATCCTAATACCCTTTCAGCCTGGATTACTTAATCCAGAATAACTATCAACCTTGTTTCTCAATTCAAATTAATTAACAAATATCAGTGAGGTAGCCATTTTGATGTATTGCTAGAAAAAGGAGAGCTTTAACACCTTGAAGACTGATGCATTTATTCTAGCATTTCATGGGCTTGAGCTCAGCTTGCTGATGCAGTGAATTCTCAATCAGCAGGATTTTTATACACAGAGAGGGAAGAAAGGTGAACAACGGGGGTAAATGGCCTGTGACATTTCCATGCAAGACTAAAAAGTATGCAGGTAACCACAGTGATAATTAGCAACAGCTGTAAACGGTGATAACAGATTACTTAGTTATGTTAAGTAATTTAACACCTATAGAGAGACTGAGAAAATTATCAGACTTGTTGAGCTCCTGGCTAATTCTATCAAATCTATTGATGAATTCTAATTTAGCAATTTCCTGTTGGAGTCTCCCTTTGGAATTCCTTTGTTGGAGAATGCTGACTTTCAGTTCAGCAGCAGAATATTGTGGAAGACTGAAATGTTCTCCCACAGGTTTTTGAATGGTCCCACTGTTTTTGTCCAACTTACGTCCATTTATTCTTTTGCATGGTGATTTCACTGTTTTGTCCTATGTCAACTGCAGAAAGGCATTGTTGACAGATGACTGGATGTATCACATGGGAGGATGGACAGATGAATGAGCCCCTGATGGTATGGCTAACATTATTAGTTCCTGTAATAATGTTGCCTGTGTAGATATGGGGACAGAGGTAGCAAATGGGCTGTTTGCAGAGTTTCATTCTGGTGCTATTATCTCCATTGGGTGGTATATTGTTCTTAGTGAATAATTGGTTGAAATGATAGGGTTGCCTGTAAGCAAGGTTTGCCACCTAAGGCCTGTGAGACAGAAGTACTATTGCTGAGAACAGACTACTGATGATATGCTGGAGTGGCTAGCTGGGAATTGGAGGTGACAAGCAGTAGTGTCCTGGCACTTAGTCTCTGGGGCCTATCCTGTACTAGTGTGTTCCTGAGTACCAGCTTAGCCTTATTCATCCACCCCCACCACCCCATCTCACTGGGTGGATATTATTATTTTAAGAATGTCTGCTGTTAATCCTTTAGGTGTGAGTTTCTGTCCAAGGAAGTGGACCAAATACATTAATATTGTTAGGCCCAGTTATAAACAATGGATTTGTTATGAATGGTAGCTGTCAGCGTGGAGATACTTGTAGCAGTCATTACATCTCATTAAGTCATTAAGATGGTGCTATCATGTAGTTTCACAGTGTTGTCTAGAAAATGACACTGCTGTGTGGACTGGTTCAGGCTCATGTGGATGGTGGGATAGAAGTTGTTGAGTCTTGATTACATTTCTTGAGTGCCTCCTTCCCATGACTCCAGATAATAAAGTGTCATCAATTAATCTCAAGCAGAGTAATGCTATGAGGAAACAGGAGCTGATGAAGTATTGCTTTAAATCAGACATGAATATATTGGCATATTGTGGAGCCATGCAAGATAACCCAAAGCAGTGCTATTAGCTTGAAGATATAAACTGTTCCCAAACCTGAAGTAATTTTGGGTGAGTGCAAAGTAGGTAGCTTGTTGGCCAAATGTGCTGCAGTTTTCTGAAAGCTTGAGATCCATCTCTGTGGAGGATATTGGTATACAGAGCATCTGTACATCATGATAGGATCAACATCCATGATGGTATTCTCTGGAAGACTGTCAAAAGATTGTGGCCTCCTTATTAAGATAGTAAAAAAGGTAAAGGTTCCCTTGCTCGAAAGCCGGTCGAGTCCGACTCTAGGGTTGCGGTGCTCATCTCCGTTTCAAAGCCGAAGAGCCAGCGCTGTCCGAAGACGTTTCCGTGGTCATATGGCCGGCATGACTAAACACCAAGGTGCACGGAACGCTGTTACCGTCCCACCGAAGTGGTACCTATTTATCTACTTGCAATTTCTTGCTTTCGAACTGCTAGGTTGGCAGGAGCTGGAACTAGAGACGGGAGCTCACTCCGTCATGCGGCAACTCAGGTCTTCAACTGCTGAACTACTGACCTTCCACAGCCTGCAGTTCAGCGTCTTAACCACTTGAACCACCGCAGCTCCTTATTAAGATAGTAGTGTCCTGCAATAACTGAGAGTGCTTGTGGCTTGTGGCAGAAGATCGTCTCCATATAACCAGACATCCCTACTATTGTAGCATCACTACCAAAAACAACTGGGCATCCAGGGTTGCCTGCCTTGTGAATTTTGGGAGGCAGATCTTGCTGACTGGAATTGCCATGGGGTTCTTCTTTTGTTTTGTGCATGGCAACAGCATGGCAACACCTACCACTGAACATAATTTACACAAATTCACTGTGTTTACAAAAGGTTCACATATGTTAGGCAATAACTGATCTGTGCAAAACCATAAGGAGTAGGCAGGACAAGTAATTATGACCTTAGGGAGGGGCAAAGTAATACGCAACACACATTTATACCTGCAGCTTTTTTATATATCACCCCTCATAATTGGCCAGTTATGATAGAAAAATGCCTAATAACACTCTATAATGAGCCAGATTATCCTTCAACAGTGCAACTGGATAAGTCTGCTGGGCTATGCACTATCTGTATCCTGGGGTGTGCATAGCAGTATGACTCTGTCTCACTGTGTTTTGCATTTGCTGCTAATTGCAGCATGTGGATAGAGCAGTGGATAATTGCAGCTTCCCTGTGCTTCATTCAGGTGTGAAGCTTTGCACTCCTGCTGGGTGCGAGTCATGGGGATGAGATACAGACTGACACCAGTGGCCGTCCATAAAAATGATATCAGGTCTCCTATATTTAAGAGGACAGGAACCCAAGAATGGCTATAAGTAACGTTATCTTTGACAATTTGATTTGTCACCCTCAGCTCACATCCCCAAAGATGGAACATGTCATTGTGGGTGTCAGCCCATAGACTCATGAGCCTAGGATATGGCATATGACATGATCACTCATTACAAGATTCCTGTCAAGTTTGTCTGAAGTGGCCACCTGCATCTAGAATTGTTATGTTGACTGTTTCTATAAGGTAACTTTCCTAGCACAGAATAACTCAATTCTATCTCTTGTTTCCTCTTACAGACGCCACTGCCAGTGCTTCAGCTCTGATGTGCGCCCAGAAGAATGTCTTCCAGCAGACATCTCTTCCTCACGGCCAGTACCATGGGAAAGAGGTGAGATCACGTCTTCCTAGCCAGCCGAGACCTGCATGACCTATGGGTAAATCATGTGTGAAAACATGGACTTGTTTAGCAAGAAAAACTCTGCCCTTGCCCTCGCTGCCATAAGGCCTGTTCTCTCCACACAGCTGGATGCATTCTTCATCACTGTCCAATCACATAATAAGGCCTGTGCTGAGGATGCTGGTAGGGCAAACAGGGCAGGCTGTACAAAAGATGTGGGTGGAGAAGATCATACTATTCCTGAACATACTTATGGGCATCTGAAAAAGTGTGGTTGTAGGGATGCCAGCCTCCAAGTGGGACCCTGGTTCCCCTAGAATTACAGCCCATTTCCAGCCTCAGTTTCCCTGGTGGATGCTTTGGAGGGTGGGCTCTGTGGCATTGTAGCCCACAGAGGTCTCCCCGTGCTCCACCCCCAAATTTCTAGGAGCTCTCCAGGAGTTCCCCAACTTGGAGCTGGCCACCCGAAACTGGCAACCCTAGGCCATGTTCATTATTGGGTTTTTTAAAATCCAAAATTATTGATTTGGTTCTTCAAAACAGCTAGTACTCATTCAGAACACCTGACCAGTCAGAAACACATGATTTTATATCTTTACTGGGGAAAGGGAATCAGAGCGTTTGTTAGAGGGCCCCACAATCCTTTTACCTACAGGCTGTCATTCCTGTGGCTTAGCTACAGTGACTTGGCCCCATACACAGGTCTCTCCCCCCCACACACACCTGGTTCTTAGCCCCGCCTTCCATTCTACTCTAACTGTACGGCCCTTCCAACTGCCTTCCAAGCTAAACTCTTCTCTGCCCCTCCCCCACTGCCCTCAGCTCTCTCACTATCCTGTCCACACTCTTTTCTTCCTTCTTTTCTTCTTTCAGCTCTCCCTGCTGCACCTATTCTCTGTTCCTTCACCCCCCCTCCCCCTTATGATTACTCATGACTGATACTGATTCTTATTACGGTCATTGCCTTGTCCTAACTGTGCCCTCATTTTCTGCCCTGCTTCTAAACGGACTCATATTTGAATACCACACACTTCATTACCATCCCCCCATACCCTTCACGGCTTAGGTGTCATGACAAAGTCTCTTTGTGAATTGACAACATGTCAGACCCAGACCAAGGCTCAACTTCTAAAGACCCTTCTCCCAAGCCATGGTCCAGTTCTGCAACAGATACCCAGGATGATTCGCCTAAATTTTCCTTGCTGATACATACCATGTCTTCAGGCCTAGGTTCTGAGGCCTCTTCCACTCTTTCCTTTGAAACAACAAATGATCAAGGTCGGGCACTGATGGACTCCATCTCTGCTTCCCAGCCAGAATGTGAAATCAGCAGTTCGTTTCTGAGTTTCTCCATGTCAAGTTCACCACCAGCCTCTAGGGAGTCACTCTCTTCCCCTCTTTCCTTTGAAACAACAAATGATCAAGGTCGGGCACTGATGGACTCCATCTCTGCTTCCCAGCCAGAATGTGAAATCAGCAGTTCGTTTCTGAGTTTCTCCATGTCAAGTTCACCACCAGCCTCTAGGGAGTCACTTCGGGTTCCCAGGCCAAAAACGAATCTCATGGCTTCGTTTCTGTCCATTTCTATGCCAGACCCAAGTCTACGCTCAGCATCCAAGGACTTGTTTGGTGCTCGGAGGCTAGCCCCATGTCGTTCTACAGTTGTATCTTTTCCTGAACAGGTCCAGAAACATGTAGAAGCCTTTCACCTATCCAAGAAGCAGCTTGTGAAAATAAAAGACTCCATGCAGGCAGCCATGAAAAAGGGCCTAAAAAAGCAGGCTCAAGGTGGAGCAGGTGCTTTACCGATGTTGCCCACTTATGTTTGTGCCTTGCCTGATGGCACCGGTAAGTGTATTTTGCAGGGGTCAAGGGGACATATGGTTCCCACAGCTATGGTTCCCAAGTCCGGGTTGGAAAGTTCCTGATGATTTGGGGGGGGGGGCCCTGGGGATGGCAGAGTTTGGGGAGGGAAATCAGCAGGATGTAATGCCGTAGAGTTCATCCTCCACAGCAGCTATTTTCTTCAGGGGAATTAATCTATGTTGCCTGGGGATTAGTTGTCATTCTGGGAGATCTTCAGGCCCCACCTGGAGGTTGGCAACTCTACCCACAACGGTTGTCTACACTCTTTTATAGCTCTTGCAAGGCCTGCACTCTAGGGTTACCAACTTTTTAAAGACCTCTAACAGTAGTGCCTTTCACACCAGCTTGATGTGTAGACAGGAGTGGGAGTCTATGTTTATCTTCCTACCGTGAAAGCTTCAGTTGTTGATTTCTGTTATCAAGCTATGCTTAAAGGCACAAGGCATTGTTTTCAGCGCTATTTCTTGTCCTGCTGTCTCTCAAGTTCTTAGGGTTGCCACAGCTGCTGTCAAAAATTCTAGTACTGGGAGTTAAGTGTCTGTGTCAGAGCATGTATGGAGTTCCCTTTACAAAAAAAGAGTAAAAACCAGAAAAAAGGGATACATTTTATGATTATGAGATGTTTCCCCTGATTAGCATAGGTCTGTGCCAGTCTCCTGGACAATAGGTAATTCTGATATTCCTTGCTGATGAGAAAATCAATCTTTTTGTGTATAATAATTGAATAGATATTCAGATTTGAAATTATCCCATTGGTTAGCAAAGATGTTGTGCTAATGAACAAACAAATCCTGGAAGACAGTGAGTTCATAATTTTTTAACCTAGGGAACTGTGGCAACCATAGGGACAAGTGAGGAATCGTAGTCTTGTTCTAGTGTTGCCAACTCTGTACTGGGAAATTCCTGGAGATTTGGTGGTTGGAGCCCAGGGAGGGTGAGGTTTGGGGAGGTGAGGGACCTCAGCCAACTATAATGCCACAGAGGCCATCCTCCAAAACAGCCATTTGATCCAGGGGAACTGATTTCTGTAGTGTAGAGGTCAGCTGTAATTATGGGAGAACTTCAGGACCCACCTGGAGGTTGGCAGTCCTATCTTGGTTGCCTGCTACCCTTATATTCACATCTCTTTCACAGAGAGAGGACATTTCCTGGGTCTAGAACTGTCCCAGACTCAGGTGGAAATTGTGTTGTTGCACCTGAGTGGTGAAGAGAGGCAGACAGCCCAGCTGAAAACGCAGTCCTTTCCGATCCCTGCAGCGGCCATTGATAACAAGGTACAGTTACCCTTCCGCTCACTTAATCCATTCCATTTGTTTTTGCAGTCATGCTGTTCCTCTGTTCTCCCTCTTTTCGCTTTAATTCTGTTTAAGAGCCCTCTGTCGATTTACAAATGTATTATTTTCTTTTGCACCCCTTTATCAAGCAACTCTTTTCTCTCCCACCCTGCTCCTCCTTGCTCTCTTTGGTCTTCTGGCACCTTTTGACCCCAGATCCTACACCTCAAATGCCTCAGCCTGTTCCAGTGCTGTGACCATTAGCAAAATCAGCCCTGCCCCATCCCTGCAGCTGTTTTTGAGATGTTGGTAAGAAGGGGATGGCAAAGGATGAGATGGTTAGACAGTGTTATCGATACAACGAACATGAAATTAAGCAAACTCCGAGCACAACAGAAGACAGGAGGGCCTGGCATGATGTGGTCCATGGGGTCACGAAGAGTCGGACTCGACTGTGCGACTGAACAACAACAACAACAACAAATCCCTTACCATAAGCTTGCAAACAAGGCCTGTGGAACCAATTCAAAGTCAGTTAGGTCAACTTTGCTGAACTCTCATGGAAATTACTGGGTTGTTGTAATTTTGACTTTTTCTGCGTGGGTGTTTTTCCTTGGATTCTGATCTGATACTGCTTCCATTTATCCCCTGATTTCTGCATGCATTTTCACTTTGTTTTTCGTTTTCCCCCTTGGTTTTTTCTGGTTCTTTTAAGACCATCTTTACCCCGATATTTTTTCTGGAAGCTGGTTTTAAGTCACCTTTTCCCTCATTTGTAATGTTTCTATCAGTTTTCTTTGTCCTGTCCCCTCCCACCCACTTACAGTCCACTTTTCCATGATTGGACTGTAGTGGTGAAACCACTCTCTCTCCTCCCCAACCTGAAGACGTGGTTTTGTTTTCTCCTTCATTTTTGAAGGCATTAAAATATCACTATATTGCTAGATTGTTGTAACAGTAGCAAGTTCTGTGAGTTCCCAGCTTTTTTAAAAAAAGTAAGTCTCTAGTCTTCACCTGCACAGAGATAAGACTTTTTCCTTATATCTCCAAGAAGGAAGAGACTAGAGACTTTTTAAAAAAATGAAAGCTGGGAATTTAGAGAATTGCTAAGCCTAGTGAAACATCAATGTTCTAGTTCCTTTTTTAAAAAGAAGTGTGTGTGTGTGTGCTGTGCTGCCACTGATGACACTACTGATGATGACAGCACCCTCCTTGAAAATTCTTACTACTAAAGGCATGTGCAGAAGAAAATAAACCGACTCCACAACTACAAAAATGCTGATTCCCAAGGTGATTCCATTGCATGTGAATCAACTCCCAAGAAAATCAGGAGTAATGTGAGCGTGCAGAAAAGGTTTTAGTTGTGACTAGCAAGTCCATATTTCGATAGAGCTTCTTCTGGGCCAGGCCCTGTTTTGTTTTATATACCATTGCATTTTAAAAGTTAAGTAATAATGGAGCTGTGGTGGCTCAAGTGGTTAAGACGCTGAACTGCAGGCTGTGGAAGGTCGGTAGTTCAGCAGTTCGAGACCCGAGTGTGCTGCATGATGGAGTGCGCTCCCGTCTCTAGTTCCAGCTCCTGCCAACCTAGCAGTTCGAAAGCAAGAAATTGCAAGTAGATAAATAGGTACCACTTCGGTGGGAAGGTAACAGCATTCCGTGCGCCTCGGTGTTTAGTCATGCCGGCCACATGACCACGGAAACGTCTTTGGACAGTGCTGGCTCTTCGGCTTTGAAACGGAGATGAGCACCGCAGCCCTAGAGTCGGACCCGACTGGCTTTCAAGCAAGGGAACCTTTACCTTTACCTTTAATAATGGAGGTGGGAGATGGCACAAAAATCCATGCTAGATGATTTGTGAAGCTTTCACTACTGGTAAAGATGCTGGATTTATATTGATAGCACGGAGAGATCTGAAAATCTGGCTATATGTCCTGAGGTGAGCAGATTGCCATAGGTAGAAGGAGGTGAGGATGATGATTGTGTCATATTCATAATTCCATGTTTGCTTTTCCAGATTTTTGAATATATCGCCAAGTGCCTGGCCAGATTTTTGGATGACCTTGACACCACTGAGAAATACTTTCCACTGGGCTTCTCTTTTCCCTATCAGTGTGAACATACTTCACTGAACCAGGTGAATAGTGCAGTGGCTGTACGTCAGACTGTGTGTGGTGGGATAGTGAGGTAGTGCATTTGTTACGAGGGGAACCTCAATAATACAGTAAGGCAGATCCAGTGCAAACATGTAATGATACAAAGTGATTGTGCTGGCTTAGTGGGAAGGAGGGAATGGACTGACTCCAAGGTTTGCCATAAATATAACTCCTGGCCTGAAAAGGCTGCCAATTGAAAATGTGCATCAGAGGAAAGGGTCAGTGTATGGCAATGCTGGTATCTCTCTCTACAGTATTTTTTCCTGCAGAGGGTTGCTTGGAGGAAGAAAGGCTGGGTTTCACAGAGGTTCACTGGAGATGCTGTAGTGCTCTCTAATATCTACCTGTTTTGCTTTCCTTTAGTGTAAGCTGGTTGAATGGGCAAAGGATTTCCAGGCTTCAGGTGTGGTGGGTGAGGATGTGGTACAACTGCTCCAAAAAGCTGTAAAAGAACATTGCAAGGTGAGGAACAGCTGTAATTGAAGTGTGATTATGAGAATGAGTGGTTGGGTGTGGTCCCGATGTGTTGTTTTTTTTTAACCTGGAGAATCGCGACCACACTCACCTCCTTGTTCCGGATTGCTGCACAACCACATCACTCCTCCCATCCACATGCGGGAGCGTGTGTCGGTGTTTTTTCTCTCTCTCTCAGTTTGGGCATGCACACAGGCAGCCATCTATAGAATTAAAATTTTCGCACGTGCGCAGAACAGTGATTTCCACTTCAACCCAACGGCTGTAACACTTCCCTTTAAACTTTAAAAGAACACTTGTCTTTAAACTTTTACCCCGAAACTGGCCTCCATGAGATCCCGGACTCATCTAACCAACAGGCACCGTTTAAACATTGTTTTTAATAATGCGGGAGTGGAGCTCCACCTGTGCGCATACTGCCAACGCTAAAATAAAATGGCAGGTGAAGAGTGGAAGCCTCGGGCTTCCGAGCGGAAGTGGCTTGACACTGCAGGAGCAATCAGACATCAGAAAAGTGGGGCTAGAACTGGAGAATCAGGAAACCCCCACTTGGGGACCTGGTAACAAAATACTCCGTTTTAAAGGGGATTTGAGCCGGAAAGCAATGGCTGGGGACAGTGCGCAGATGTTGCATGTGTGAACATGAATATAAAATCCGTTACTGAAGCGTGCCGAAAGTGGACTAAACGGCCCATCTGAACGCACCCAGTGAATGAGTGAGTGAGTATGTTTTCCACACAGAGGCAGTCTTGTGCAATTTCCCTGTTGCTACTGTTGATATAGCACAGTGGCAACAGGGCTTCCATATTGCAGGTTTTCCCACAGCTTCTCTGTTCCAGGCCTGTGGAAGTGGCCATCTCATGTCCCCCCCCCCCAGCCAGATCTTTTCCAGTTTTGTTAAAATCCGCAATTGAATATCATTCTATCAGTAATGTTATAACAGTGTGTGTATCAAGTTCTCTGAATTTCCTTTTGTCATTCAAAAAGTAATTCTCTGTCCCCTTTTGTTGCAGACATACACCTTTTCCCTTATGTCTCCACAATGATAGAGGCTAGAGACTTACTTTTTAAAAATTGAAAGATGGGAGTTCAAAGACCACAATACACAGGTTGTTAGAATGATATTCAGTTGCCAATTTTTTAAAAAATGCAGGACCAAAGAAAATCCAACCTTTCCCACCAGTACAGCTGTTGTCATCCAGTCTCAGGTGTGATCTTTCCCAAAACTTCACAGCAAAGTAAGTGTGGGAAATATCTTAGAAATTCTGGAGAGAGATCAGGAGGTGTAGAATTGCACCCCAATGCTGTGTGGAAGCAGGAAAAAAAAACCCTTACTTCTCAACTGGTTAGAACTTTGGAGGAATAACCAGTATGGAAATGGAGAGAGAGAGAGAGAGAGAGAGAGAGAGAGAGAGAGAGAGAGAGAATCAGAAGCGGAGACACTTTGATCTTTCTTTCTCTTTGATTACCCCAGAACTACTGCATTGAGATCTTAGCTGTGGTGAATGACACCGTGGGAATCATGGTGAGCTGCGTTTGTGAAGAGCAGCCCTGTGAGGTTGGGCTGATAATAGGTGAGAAAGACATTCGAATGCACATGTTAGTTGTGCTATTGAGATGGAAGATTCGTGGATGCTGTACATTGGTCCCTGCCACACGGCAGGAAAAAAACCAGGCAAAGTGCAGCTTTTAAAAGCTGCACCAAAATAGAGATCCCCTGAGCCGCGGCACCGTTGCTCCCTGGCATGATCAGATGCCGGGGAGGAAGTGACAGTTGGGAGGGGGAGGCTGCCGAACTGTGCATGTCTGAGCATGCGCAGTTTGGCCCACAGCCGGCCTTGATGCACCCTTTCCCGAAGAACCACCTAGGTAGGTGGTTTATTTTTTATGCGGGGTTTTGGGTGGAAGGGCGGCTCGGGAATGGGCGCGCCACGCTTCCCAGATGTTGCTGTGGGATCGCGCCCGTTTGCTACGCCCCCGATCCTTCCCTCTCCCGGCCCAAAACCTCTCGTGTGCCCGGGGCCATTATGCTTTTTACCAGGGAGCTGGCTTATTCTTCTGAGATCTTGCCAGGTTAGAAGAATATTGGACTGTGTTCATGAAGGCAATTTAGGCAACAAGGCACTACTAGTTTTGAGGTTACATACAGCCATGCCATAGGACTAACAACCCAGTCTCCTGTCTATTATGATCGAGGGTGGGAGATTATTTTGTATAGGAATCCCATAAGATCTTCCATTTCATCCAGATGGCAAGCACTAACCATTGACAAAAATAGGATTGTGGTATAAATGGACCATGCAGGTGAGGTGTTGCTAGGTTATTCAGGAGTGACCAGTCACTCTCCAATCAATTAAAAGTATCTCTCCACCTAGGGTTGCCAGTTTTTCTGCTATAACAGGAGATCTCCTGCTTAATCTAGTTCATTTCCTGCCAGCACTTCAGGTGTAAAATGGGGAGGGGAAGGGGGCATGTGCCAGCACTTCTTTGAAAGTGCACTGATATAACTTTCAGTGAAAACCAAAAGTGACATTACGGGATGCTCCAGGATTTGCAACAAATGGGGTTGCCAGCCTCCACGTGGGGCCTGGAGATCTGCTTTTACAACTGATCTCCTGCTGACAGAGATCAGCTCCCTTGAAGAAAATGGCTGCTTTGAAGGGTGGACTCTATGGCATTGTATGATGCTGAGGCCCCTCCCTTCCCCAAACCCCACCTTCTCCTGGATCCACCCCAAAGTCTTAAGGTATTTTTAACCCAGACCTGGCGACCCTAAAAAATGCTTTCACCATAGAGTTTTTGCAAAATCCTAGAGTATCATACGGTGGCACTTCCATTTTTCACCAGAAGTGATGCCACTATGCCAGAATGACACTGGTACACCAGTCTCCACCCTGCATATGCTCTCAAGGGTTTCTGCCTGCAACCTGGCTACCCTACCTCCATCCCTTTTCCAGTGTTGCTGCTGTAATCACCTTTTTATTCTTCCCTTTAAAGTTAACTCAGTATTGTGTAGTGAGTTAGCCGCACACAACATTCAGCATCTTCTTTCCATTTCATGCATGTAGAAGGAGGGCACTGGGATACTTGCACCTTCTGGATGGGAAAATGACAGCACCAGCACCCTTTCCCATCCACCTCTTCTCTTTTGTGCACACACTTACCCTTGCCTTAACTCTGGGAGGGAATGGAGCATGGTATCGACACTTTCCCTCTGCATTCAAAGCTGCTTTTTGCTTCTTGCAGGGAAAACAAAGAAATTACTACATATTTTCTCATGCAGGGCAAGTTTCAGTTTCGGGTGGAGGCGGTGCTTTGCTTCGGGAAAACAGCAAAAGAAAGGTTTCTCCACCTGAGCACTGTAGACGTGTTCTGAAACAGTGTAATGTTTGTACAAGCTGCTATTTTGTGGCTAACTCTACCCACTTAGCCACCATTTTGTGACTGGTAGCTTCCAAGTATCTTGGAAAATATTAAATTGCTCTCAGAAACATAAAGTCTATCCTCCCCTGCCTCATATGATAGAGAAGCTGGTAAGTTTTTAAAAGAAGCAGAGTACTTGGTTTAACTTTCCTACTGCTGGGCTGTTCAGTGTTTTACTAAAATGGCTATTTCTTCTGTTGTGGGGTTCTTTTCCTGCTTTTTGTCTTCTGGTATGCGGTAGGTGAAGGGACTAACTGTTGCTACATGGAACAGGCCAAGAACATCGCAGGCATGGAGAACAAAGTGGGCCACATGTGTATAAACACAGAATGGGGCTCTTTTGGGGAAGCTGGAGAACTGGATGACGTACTAACAGAATTTGACCAATTAATGGATAAAGAGTCATTGAATCAAGGCATTTGCAGGTAGGTCACAGTGAAGGAAATGAAGAGTGTTTCTGGTGCATGCAGTGAAGCACTGCCCGGTTTGCCCTGTGCCTTGTTATAGAATCTGCTTCTGCAGCAAGGAAAAGGAACATCATGTCTTGCTGCATACCCTTGTTTGATGGACAGGGTCTGGTGGAATAATCTGGGTTACGCATACTTGCTGCTCCAAAATGCAGTTTCTATATGAAGGATGTCCAACTTCTGATTTAGTTATTGATCAGTTAGATTTCTGCTTAGTATTCTTAATGAAGCAAAAATCTAGTGTCACCTTAAAAGACTAACAACACTTATTTTAATATGAGCTTTTGTAGTCAGTCATAGTCTACTTCATTAAATACATATGCGATAGAAAACCATGCTGGGGCATTTTTAGGGGGCAGATTGGTTGTGGGGGGCCAGCTTGATATGAACCTTTCAAGTGTAAATATCAATATAAGGGGGAAAGGAGGGACTTGATGTATAAAGGGTGAGTATCCTATGAGTCCTATCATAAGTCAACAGAATTAGCAGTTGCACATAGTGGATGGTGACAGAGGTCAGGAGTACAAACAGATAAGCAGATGATTTAAGTGGAAATTAACTGATATTGGTACAGAATTATAGTCTAATTAAGTATATGTAGAACACCTGATTAAAATTTTCAAAAAGTGTGTCCTGGGGAGGTATTAGAGAATATAGTGACTGAGGAAATCCAAGTTTCTGTTTAAGCCAGGATGACATGTTTTCTTTTTGATGAGTTCTAATTCAGCTTTTTCATGTTGTATATTCCTTTTGAAGTTTTTTTTTTGTAGAACAGTGACTTTCATGTCTGCAATAGCATACCTATGGAGATTAAAATATTCTGTCACTGGTTTCTGGACTGTTGTGACTTCTTTGTATTTTTTTGTGCATGTGTGTGTACCTGGAAGTCATGGCGACCTCTGGTGACTGACCCCTACTGGGAGCCTGAGGGATATTCAGAGAGGTGGCTGAATAAAGCCATCCCCCGCCTCCTGCCTCTGGTATTTCAGGGAGGTCTCCCATCCAATTTCATACCAGAACTGACCCTGTTTAACTTCTGAAATCTGACAAGTTCGGGCTTGCCTTGGCTATCCCGGTCAGGGCAATTGTTGTGACATCTTATGTCTGATTTGCATTCATAATCTATTCAGAGTGTAATGTATAGGCTTTGACAATGTGCACAATATTTGGCACCCTGGAGCCATAAAATTATGGCTAGTTTCAGCATCCTATGCAAGTACCAGGGTGTTCCACATATCTGTTCCTGCTAGGGTATCATTTTGGACTGATGCCCTATAACTTGTAGTCTTTGCCTTTTCTAGCAGCCGTGTTCTATGAAGCAGACATGCTTCTTCTTTGAACAGCATGGCTTGAATACAATTACCTTCCAGTGACCCAGGAGAAATCCTCCCTGCTCCATCTCTTTGTGCACTGACTGTCCTCTTTCTTATTGCTATCAGATATGAGAAGCTGGTCGGTAGTTTGTACCTGTGTGAGACGGTCCGCATTATTCTGGCTACCCTGTCTGAGAAGGGTGAGCTCTTCAATGGGGTTTTGGCTCCCGGCCTGATGACCAAAGGGATACTGAAGTTTCACGATATCTTGGATATCATAGAGTAAGTGGGTCATTTAAGATAGAATATTGGATTGCTCATCTATCCTTGGCAGTACTAGGGTGAGGCTTGGCATCCCTTGTTAGAGTAGACTGAGATATAATAACTAGGAGGAATGCTTGTGGCCCATGATGAAACACTGAAGCGGATGACTTAGGGACAGTTCACATGTTAGAAAGTCCTTGTGGCTTCTACAGGGATTTTAGATCACATGTACACTGGGAATTCCATCGCACATAGGGACCCAATCCAGACCAGACCCACAGTGTATGAAGGTGCTGTATCCAGCTGTTTTCCCAGCCCAAAACAGCTGTGGAGGAGCCATTATTTGACCCATCGAGGAAACATATGTGCAGCCATCATTACATGTAAGTGTCTCAGTGGGCAAATAGTAGCTCCCTAGGGCCACTCCAAGTCAGGAAAACAGCATTGGGAGGGGGGGAGGAAGCTTGAGTGCACCTGGAAAGCATGGAACTCCCAGTACCTGTGTGATCCAAAGTCCTTATGGAAGCCACAAGGACTTTGTAGTGTGTGAATCGGCCTTTAAGAGTTGCACAATCAACTATAATCTAGAACACTCAAACACACACAAGCCCTGTTCACAAGTTACAATTAATACATTTACAATCTGTGTACAGTGTACACTTGATTGTTCCTTATACATGCATTGAACAATTCTCATGTTACATTCAATGCATGTACAACTGAATGTGTAATTGAAACCACACATTTATCCAGATACTGGTCACCAGTTTCATCTGTAAAGTGAACATATATTGGCTCTCTCTCTCACAAACAGGAATATGCTCAAATGATCAGGGTGTACATGTGTTCACCGTAACACACTGCCAAATGTGTGAGGAAAAAGATGTCTGAATAAAACAGGTAGGCATTTAGGGGTCATTCATATAGTACACTTCCCACCAGGTGTATAGAAAAGAGAGTGAAGTTGTGGCTAGACAGAAATGTAATATCACGGGTGTTTGCTTCACCTGAACAATCACTTAGTATTTCTTACTCACTGCCAGTAGGTACATCCCCTTGTTTGCCCTTTGTCACATAATCCCTTTTGACCTGTTTGCAGTTCTACTCCCTCTTGCCTCTTTGCTGTCTCCAAGTCCTGGTTATTTTCAGTACCTCTTTGCTTCCATCTTTTCTCAGGCCTCCCTCTCTCACCTTCTTGAGCACTCTACTTTTCTGCATAGTGTGATAATTTCTAAATACACACACAGAAACCCAAACACCTCTATGACTACACAATGGGGTGTCATAGTATGTGTGACATACTTTTTTGGTGTGTGTGCACATCTTGACTAGAATGACAAACTATGACAAAAGGGGAGGTTGAAGAAAAATTTAAATGGGACATAGTGATGATCCCATAGCCATAACTGCATAGTAATCATCATCGCTGACATCTCCTTTTTTGGATGATTGGTAGCCTACATTTTTTTAAAAGGATGCAAGATTAGTTTTTATATGTATAAAGATTAATATTGTGTTGTTTATTCCTTTAAAACATATCAGCCACTTGAAAACAGCATGACCTGTGAACTAGCAATATGTGTAGGTGATACCAAATTATACCCTAGAGTTCAGTAAAACTACCTTTGGTGCTTTAAATGTTATGTATTTTTAATGTGGCAATATTTTCCATGCTAAAGAAAGACTGAAATCAATGTGTAGTGATTCCTGTCTGAGATATACAAATGGCAGGAATATGCACAGAAATGTTATTTAGGTTGTTTTTTTTGCTTGCTCTTTCATATTTTTATTTATTTTCTTTATTATAACTGTTTGGATTCTTTATTCCTCTCCATTGGTTTCAATGGGGAAAATATTTTTTGCTACCCAGTTGGGATGACATTCTTAGGGAATGTATTCCTCACGTTAGGAGTCCTGTCTGCCAAATGTGAGGCAGAAAGGAAAAAGCATTCCCATTTTAAAATTCTTAGTTGCCCAAGGCACAGGAAGGCATGAATCGGTGTGAGTTTTTCCTCCTTTCCCAGATTCCTCAAGTAGAAGGTAGAGGAGTATCTGTCTAAACAAAACCAAGTCCCCAAGTGAGGGAAACTAAATGATGCCCCCTTCCATGTGTTACTTCACTGCACTGAGTACTGGTTTTACCATTTTTCTCCTATCTACCTGACAGGGTCGGTTCCAGGTTTGGAGGGGCCCTGGCAGGGTGTTCCCAGGGCCTCCCTGCTCTCTTCTACCCACTACCAGGCATCCATACACACTCTCCTTCCCTTCCCCTCACCTGCATGCCTTCCACATGCCTGTGTGTCCTGCCCCTGGCTAGTTGTGAGTTCTCCCACTGCCCATGCTCACCACTTTCTACAGCCCTTTTCTCAGTGCCACTGGGCAGTGAGTATAGCTGGGAGCATAGTGGAGTGCTAGCAAGTAAGTGGGTTGGGGGGGGGGTTAACCACAGTGGGCTTGCCAGATGCCCTGGGGCTGGGCAGCTGCCCTACCCCAGGGTATGCTGACACCACCCCTGCTACCTGACTTCTGGTTTCAGAGCTGGGCTGAGCAAAGAATTCTTCAGGCACTGGAATAATGTGCCAGAAGGGGGCTGCGGTTAACTCCCTCCACCTACAATCTCCAGTTTCTGTCTTTTTGTTTTGTTTTTAAGAGTAGACTTCTCTGGCCCCTGCTGTGAATAAGAGGTCACCTGCCTCCCCCCCCCCTTACCGGAGCTAACAGCAGCTGGGAGGTGAGGGGGAACTTGTGTCAGATGAAAGGTGCATACAATTAATGACATTATGAGATCTCAGGAATTTGATCTTTACAGATCTCTTATGCACAGAGAGACTTCTGATCATTTCTCACTTTTTGTTGGAGAGGGGAAGAATAGGCCCCTCCACCAGTCTGTTTTGTGGCAGCCTGGCCTCCACAAGGCAAATTCCCTACAGGCATGCTACCCAGTGCATACATGAGGGAATGTAGCCTGTCCTAATTATTAAATTTCTTCCATCCTGGAATTCAAAACAGTATACATAGGATTATCAGAAGGTCTTTCATCCATGCACTGAGCAGACCCATATGTACTTAGCATTCACAAGGTTGCTGAAAAAGTACCTTCAGAGCATGTCTTGGGTCAGCCCTCTTTGCTCCTCCCTAGTTTTTACTGCTTGCCTTCCAGGGAGTACAAGCAAAATCTTGCCCCCCTCCTCTGCAAGAGGGAGATGTTGCATGGCTAGCCTCTGCATCTGTTCATCCCATCTTAGTGTCTTCAGAACATGCTGCACATGTGTGTAAAGAACAAAACCAACCCCATTGTGTATGTAATTAAAAAAATCTTTCCACAAGCCAGTGAAGACAGTGCAAGGGTTGTTAGAATGCTGAAATGAAGTTAACAGAAATGCCTTTGGGAATGCTCCTCTTCAGCAGCAACTTTCTGGCTGGAAGATTCCCTGTGCTTAGATTATCTGCTGAATTACTGTCTGTTCTTGTTGTCTCTACTGATTCCCTTCCCTCACCTCATGCGACTGAAAAGCAGACAGCAAGGCATCAGAATTACAGCTATCCAGCGATTACCCAGTGTTATTTTTTAGTGATTGGATTGGTGTGTGTGTGTAAAGTGCCATCAAGTTGCAGACAATTTATGGCAGCCCCAGCAAGGGGCTTTCGAGGCAAGTGAGAAACAGAGGTGGTTTGCCATTGCCTTCCTCTGCAGAGTCTTCCTTGGTGGTCTCTTTTCCAAGTATCGACCCTGCTTAGCTTCCATGATCTGATGAGATTGGGTTGAACTGTGCTGCCTTCCCACACAGTGACTGGATTAGTGATGATTAAAGATTGTAAAAAATGGAGGCGATTCTGTTCAAAATTTGATTAGTTACGGTTCCTGAATGCACATTCTGTACAAATGGGTTGATACCCATTTTTTTTTTTACCATGCAGAGAGCAATTTTGTTTACAAATATATACCATTTCAACTGTTATTGTAAATAATTAAAGGAAGACCCCACTGTACTCAGGCGGCAAGCAATACTGGCTCCCCACAGACTGTGGCTTATAAATATGGAACCAACATGAGAAACATGCACCCTTTCCCGCCTTCCTCTGTGGCCCTAATTTTCCCCTTCCCCTGCTGACCTAATAATAGTTTGATGTAATGGCTTGGATCCTAAGTACTCCTTCTGCTGCTCTCGGTAACAGCAATGGGCCACAGTGGTGGAAGAAATTCAGTTGTGATTGGTGCAAAATTATGCATGGTGGAAACACCCCCCCCCCAGCAAACTATTTTGGGTGAAGAGCTGCTTAGTACCATTTGGAGTGGCTGGCAAGAAATCCTAAAAGTGTAGAACTGACAAGAAGGGAAAACCAAGATGGAGGGATTATTAAGAAAGAGTTCAGAAATATGATGATGTAAATTAGTGATGCATTCACACAGCCCTAGAAACTCAGCTCCAAACAGGATATTGTGGAACTGGGAAAGTGACAAGAAAAGCCAGCGTGGTGTCGTACTTAGTGTCAGGCTAAGATCTGGGAGACCCAGGTTTGAATCCCCACTCCACCATAGTGGGTGATCTTGGGCTAGTCACACACTCTCAGCCAAACCAGCCTTACAGAGTTGTTGTAAGGATAAAATGGAGAAGGAGAGAATAATGTAAAGCTGCTCTGAGTTTCCTAATGAAAAGAAAGATGGGATATAAATGATGTAAATAAATAAATTAGATGAATAAATAAAAGGAATCCAACTGAACAGAAAAACAGGAAAAGTTTTGATGGTTAATGGCATTGAAAGGATATGGTGGAAGGACATAATGAATAAATTAGATGAGGTGAACAGGGGGAAATGCTTATTCTTTTACTTAATTCTGCTATCAAAAGGAAACCCATTGCAAGTGTAAAAAACACCCCTGTATATTTACAGATAAGACCAGATAAATAAAATAAATAAATTTATAAGGTGCACACTTGACATGTGGCAATCCTTGCTGCATGACATGAAAGGCTGCAACTAAATGTTTGCATTCTGAACAGTCCCTAGATGTAATGACCCCATTACTGCATACCAATGTACTTTGTTATTCTCCAGACCCACTAAACATATGGGATTCTGAGGGAGCTGTAGTGTGTTCTCATGAAATCTGAGCATCTCATCAGACCTTTTTTACAAAGTGTGAGATGTTGAAGCCATCCCAGAGGATGGAGGGGGTGTTTTCTGTGTCTTTGGGTACCCATATTGTTCTATGCCTCTTGCCCTCTTTAATACATGTCTTTTTAAATTGCAGTGAAAAGGTGGGCCTAGCCAAAACCAAGAACTTCCTGACTCGCCAGGGACTGGTGCCGAACAACCAAGACTGTTTCCATGTGCAGAACATCTGCCAAATTGTGTTTCTCCGCTCTGCCAACCTCTGTGCTGCTGGACTGGCTGCCATCATTACTCATATTCGTACTTCTCAAAACCTGCCACAGCTGAAAATCGGTGTAGCTGTGTCTGGGGCCTTGTACAGGGGCCAGACACAGTAAGGAGTTGCACTGGGTGTAGGAATATGATATCTATCCAATAGGCTCACCCGCCAGTGTTCCCTCTAATTCTGCTCCCCCCCCCTTGCTGAGTGGAGCAGTTCACATCCTGAGCAGAATATAACTGCTATAATCTTGAAATGGGCAAGTGCAAGACCCTGCACTGCTCCAGATTGTTGCTGAGTGGGGCTTCCTGTGTTAATGAGTGGCTGCTCACGTGCACAGCTTAGAGGGAACACTGCACCGACCCCACTGTCTCTCAGACCACTGGGCCAACAGTTCCAATAGTGGTGACTTTCTCTCTTTGTGCTGATCAATGGACCAAACTTTATCCTGGTTTGGATTAATTGGCCAATCTTACCTGGTGTTCTATTGTTTGGTGTCTTACCCAGGGCTTTTTTTGTAGAAAAAGCCCAGCAGGAACTCATTAGCATAATAGGCCACACCCAGCAGCAGAAACTCATTAGCATATTAGACCGCACCCCTGACAGTACAGCTCATTAGCATGTTAGAGCACTCCATTTAACCCCCCCCCCCGAGTTTCTCCGCAGAGAAGATCGGGCAGGGAACCCAGGCATGTTTAAAATGCCTTTCTTTCCCTTCCCCATCTGGGGAAGCAAGAGGCATTTAAATCTCCCCCCTTCCCTGAGTTTCTCCACAAAAGCGGAGAGGCTCAGGGAAAAGGAGGGCATGCCTGCCCGCCTCCCCTTCCCCTCCCCCAGTGAACCCGCCGCGGCAAGTTGGCTGGGGAAGGGAAGGGCCGGCAGGCAGACATGCCTGGGTTCCCTGTCCGATCTTCTCCAGGTGCCCCGCAGCTGTGGGGCACCTAGAGAAGATTGGGCAGGGAACCCAGGCATGTTTAGAATGCCTGTAGGTGTGGCCGACTCGGAAGCCAGCTGGAACACTGTTCCGGTGCCTTTCTGCCCCAAAATAACCCAGGTCTTACCTATTCAAATGTTCCTCTTCATGGTCCCCAACCTTTTTGAACCTGTGGATACCACTGAAATTCCGACACAACATGATGGGCACAGCCAGAAAATGGCTGCCAAAGCTTACCTTTAGTCACACAGCAAAGATCCTTATGCTGTGGTGGCAGTTGCTGCCAAAGCAATATTTTAAAAAGCCAATCAAATCTCCAGTGGCCTTGCTGGGAGATCAAGTTGTCAGCCTCCAGGGGGCACCTGGAGATTGGCTGCATTTATAGTTGATCTCCAGATGATCAAGATCAGTTCCCCTGGAGAAAACGGCTGCTTTGTAGGGTGGACTCTATGCCATTATACCCTATGAGGTCCCTCCCTTTCCCAAATGCCACTCTCACCAGGGTCCATTCCTAAATCTCCAGGTACATCTCAACCCAGAGATGGCAACCAGGCACCATGGCACCCACAGGCACCACATTGGGGACCCCTCTCCATTAAGCAAGTATAGCTTATTTCCTTCTATCACCCAGTGGGCCCGTCTTGCCCTTGTGTATGACCATTTCTAGAGCAGTAATGCATGCACAACAGTCTAACAAATGTATCCATCCCCTCGGATGTCTCCCGACTCTGGTCAATTCCCAAGGTCATTGGCCTCTCCCAAGATAGGAGGTCTGTTCACACAATCCAGTTTAGGAGACTGGGATTTCAGGAAGTGGCTTCAGCTTTTCTAAAAAATGGCCGAGAATATAAACAGGAGGAAATGGCTCATTCGCACAGCTGATCTTTTTAGTCTTCTTGCAACTGTGATAGACCTAGGAAGGGGGACAAGCCAAGAGATGTATTATGCCAGACAGAGCACAGTCTCCTTCCAACTGGACTCCGTCAATGTCCTTGATATTTTTTTTCCTCCTCCAGGTATCGTGAGATAGTGCAGCAGACACTGAAGTCCCTAATTCCTGAGTGTACCTTCACCTTTGTCGCATCTGATGGCAGTGGTACAGGGGCTGCCCTGGTGGCAGCTGCAGCCTTGAGGCTTCAAAGCCGGCAGGAGCAGATGTTTGGAGTCCTAGCACCCTTGCAACTCTCTGTGGGGATCCTTGAAAAAGTGCGGAACCTAATGAGACAGGAGATGGAAAAGGGCCTGTCGAAGGAGACACACAATATAGCCGTTGTCCGCATGTTGCCTACTTTTGTCTGTCATTTGCCTGATGGCTCTGGTAAGGGGCAGGGAACAGAATGGTGGGGGCCCTATACTGAGGTGGAAGAGTTTTGAACCGATCAACCGCTCAGGTGGACTGTGCTGTCTTAGAGAAATTGTGTTGAGTTGGGAGAGAACGTTCCAGCTGCCAGGTCTGATTTGATCTATGGTTGCTGCTGTACTTGTTCCTCTCATTGAAAAAGGCATCACATTAGCCACAGAGGGTTTATGTGGGATTCTTTTCTTTGAATGCTATCCTGGATTGGCAACATGTTGAGGCCAGGAGAAAATGGCAAAATAAGACAAAATTGTGTTAACTTGAAGTTAGTATTTATTGTGGGTAATAGTTACTTAACACTCGAGTTCTGATTCCTCCTTTTTGTAGAGAGAGGGGATTTCCTGGCCCTTGATCTGGGTGGAACCAATTTTCGAGTGCTGGTGGTGCAGTTGAGAAGCCCGCAGGAGGGTGGTGTCAACATAACCAGTGAGATTTATACCATTCCAACAGAAGTGGCCCAGAGTAATGATATAAAGGTGGGTAAAGGGGAAGGGAAGGGAGTTTATGATTAGGTTGAATTAAGCTCTATCTACCTCTTTCATATGATGTTGGTGGCAGTGGGGAATGGATGATTCTACACAAGTTGGAACCATCCCATTTACCAGCGGGGCCATGTCTTCTTGGATTTGTTTCTACCTCATGAACCACTTTCGTTCCTGCAGCTCTTCGATCACATTGTTAGCTGTATTATCGATTTCCAGGCCAAGCATGGTATGG